AAAAAAAAAAAAAAAAAAAAAAAAAGACAAAAACTCATCTCTTCTGCTATAACCTTCTAAGTGAATCTATCCATTAATAAGTTTTAAATCCCATTCTGTCCTATATTGAGAGAAATCTGGCTGAAAATTATTTTGTGTTGCTCCCTTCAATAAACATCTTTAGATTCTATTTCACTGGTTTCTGTGTACAAATATCAACTTTTGACCATGGAGTAATTCAATTTAATTACAAATTGGGTATCTCTGATGTAGCTGGCTCAACATGAAGTACAAAAATATCTAAGATATTGCTGTGTGTGGTGGTGCACACCTGTGACCCCAGCATTTGGGAGGCTGAGGGAGTCAGACTACCAAATTTGAGGCCAGTCTGGGCTACATGGTGAGTAAGGCCAGCCCCAAATACATAGTGAAACCCTGTCTGCAAAAAACAAACAAGGCTGAGATGTAGCTCAGTGGCAGAAGCATCTGCCTGGCAAGCGCAAGGTCCTGAGTTTGGTTCCCGGTACCAAAAAACAAAAACAAAACTAAGACATGGTTCCTGAGCCTTGTGTGGTGGCGCACACCTGTAATCCCAGCACTTGGGAGGCTGAGGCAGGAGGATTGTTGTGAGTTCGAGACCAGCCTGGGCTACAAACTGAGCTCAAGGCCAGCCTGAACTGCATAGTGAGACCCTGTCTAAAAAAAAAAAAAAAAGACATGGCTCCTGCCCTGAAGGTGCTCTGAAGGTGCTCACAGTATAGCTTCCAACTTTAAAATGTTATTACTCAGGAAATGTAAATTAGCTTTTAGTTACTTGCTGGAATCTGGAATTACATATTGAGTGTCTACTACATATGGGGAAATGTGTAGACATATGATACCATGACAACGCCCATAACGGTTCTCAAATTTTCTCAGTGATTCTCTGGTTTTAGTTGCTTTTATTTTCCATTTTTGGAAAGCATTTAATCTTCATTAGCATTAATATATGTACTAGTCAGTTTATGTATCCTGTACATAGGCACCCGCATCTTTGTTCCAGTCTTTTTTTTTTTTTTGGTTTTTGGTTTTTCTCCGGTACCGGGAACCAAACTCATGACCTTGCGCTTGCCAGGCAGGCGCTTTGCCGCTGAGCTAAATTCCCAGCCCCTTTGTTCCAGTCTTAACCCACAGAACCGTCAGTGCTATACGGCGGCTGTCACCAATCACAGTACTGATAAAGTATGTAACAAAGCTGAATGTACCCACAAGTTTAGCATCTAAACGAATTTTACTTACTTTATCCATGTGATTTTTGCAGAGTAGCAAAATGAAGTGGTACATGCTCTCACTACGTTGACCACATTGCCTTGGAACTCGTAACCCTCTGAGCTCAGACTCCAACATAGCTGGGATTACAGACCTGTGTCACTATGCCTGGTTTGTACTCTACTTTAAAGAAAATATTTAGTCTAGAGGAGGTGTAATTTCCACATCATGTTAATCACATAAGATCCTGGATTTAGGACATCAGTGTTGTTGGGAATAAGAATAGGGGTGAGGGGTAAAGATCACTTTCCTATCAAGTCTTTTTCCCTAACTGGCTGCATTATATTCTTTAGTCAAGTAACATAAACACTTGCTACCAGCCATATGAGATATATATATATATATATTAGAGACAGGCATATGTATCTGGACTTGGTGGTGCAGGCCTCTAATCCTAGTTATTTGGGAAGCTGAGGCAGAAGGATCACAAACTTGAGGCTACCCTAGGCAATTTAGCAAAATCCTGTCTCAAAAAAATAAAAATAGCTAGGATGCAGCTCAGGGGTAGAGCACCCCGACTGACTTGCATCACTGAAATGGCCAAGAGGATGGCACAGGAAACAATGTGAGTAGTACTTACATACATATAGTCTTGATTTTCAATTTTTGTACTTGTATTCCTTCATATAGATATGCTACAATTCAGTCTGAAAATATTTAATTGGAAATTTTCTTTCTTTTTTTTTTGTCTTGAGACAGGGTCTCCCTTTGCAGTTCAGGCTGGCCTTGGGCTCACTTTGTAGCCCAGGCTGGTCTCGAACTCGCAACGATCCTCATATCTCAGCCTCTCCAGTGCTGGGATTACAGGCATGTGCCACCACGCCCGGCTTTACAGGAAGTTTTCAAAGTAAACAGTGCACGAACAAATAGGATTAGCTCAAAGGCAGGAAGTTATTAATTTCTATTTACCTTAAATTGTGCTGCATTTTAAACAATGCAATTTACTAGATGCTGTTTGCTATTTACAAATTATGTTTAGGGGCCCGATTATCATATATATATATATATATATATATATATATATATATATATAGTGTTTGTTTTTTACACAACAGCCTCAATCTTTGAAAGCCAATTTCAGATTGCTAAGGTGAAACAGTACTGACAACTTCACTTTTCACAGATTGAAGCGCTTGAATAAAAACTGACTACAGAAACCCCAAACACAGCTGCTCCCCTCCGCCTTGGACTTAATTTTTTTGTTTTTTTGTAGTTGAGGCTGGCCTCGAACTCTCAGCAATCCTCCTGCCTCAGCCTCCGGAGTACTGGGATTATAGGTGTGCGCCACCACATCCTGCCTCCACCTTTGATTTAAAACGAAAAAGAAATGCTGACATTCTACAATAGATCTTTCAGCTTGGACCCAGCCTGGGTATGGGTTCAGCCGCTAAGAATCGTCCAGCGAGTTAAGTTGTTTCAATTCCTCCAGGACCGACGGCCCCAGGCATCAGGGAGGACCGGCCGGCCCAACCCTCGAGGGCTGGGAAGCTCCCGGCGTCTCCAGCGGTGGGGAGGCGCTCGCCCTGGGTCGGCTGGTGGGTGAACGATTCTGTCTCGCAGCCCGCGGGGCCAGATGTTGGCCAGGACGCACGAAGACCACCCAGACCTTCACACGCTCGGACGCCTGTACCTGTGCCTGTGTCTAGCGACCAGAGCCCGCTGGGAGGCTCTGCGCAAGCGCGACAGTCGTGCGACATCCGTCACTTACGGCCGGAGCGGTTAGCGCTGGGAGTTAGTGGCGCGGTGCAGGACCCTTAGGAACGGACAGCTTGGGCGCGGTAATCAGCAATCTTCCCTCCTTCTCCCTGTGGTTCTGGGTGTTTGGGGCCACCGCGGAGCTTCCGGAGCCGGTGCGCGCGCCCAGGCGCGCACTGTCCCGTCGCGCTTCTCTGTCGCTCCGGGTGCTCCCGCGCCCAGGCGGGGGTGAGGGGCGGGGCCGGGGCCGGGGCCGGGCTGGACTCCGTCCCGGCGTCTTCCTGTTGAAATCTCCCGGGTAACTCGTGGCTCTTCTTCTTTTCCAAGACTGGTATCCGGGGACTGGTTTTCAGGGTCCGCCATGGAGCCAGAGCAGATGCTGGAGGGACAGACGCAGGTACCAGGAGGCCCTGGATTTAGGATGGCGGTGTTCGGGGAGGCAGCGAGACACGGGCTGATGTCTCTGTGACTGGTGTTTTTTGTAGGTTGCAGAGAATCCTCACTCCGAGTACGGCTTGACAGACAACGTTGAGGTAACTTGCCCGATTTCTGTGCCGTGTCCGTCCACCTCTTGAGGGCTGGAGAAAACTTGGGGTCCTTTTTTACTAGCTTACTTTGCACAAGAGAAAGATTTGCTATCATCAGCTCAATAATAACAAGTTAAAGATAGCTTGTTTTACCAGCGATACTAATACTTGTTTAAAAACGAGAGGTACTTTGCAATCAGATAACTACTGGCACAACTGAATTAACCAGAATTAGGTGAGAGTGGTTAGGAAAATACTGCATAGGTTTTGTGAAGAAGATTTATGTTTTTTATTTTAAAAAATACACCAGTAGGCGCTGGGGATTTAGCTCAGTGGCAAAAGCGCCTGCCTGGCAAGCGCGAGGTCATGAGTTCGCTTCCCGGTACCGGAGAAAACCCGGTACTGGAGAAAAAAAAAAAAAAAAAAAAAAAAATACACGAGTGACTAAATTTGGACAAATGAAGACAGGAAATATTTCCAGACAGATTTATAATAGTAACGAATGCTAATATTTCTCCACCTCTTTTGCTATGTGTCTTGACACACACTCTAGCAATTTGCATATATTTTTAGTCTCAAAAGGCTCAAAGAAGTTGAGTAACTTGTCCAAGGTCACCAGGAAGTTAGCAGAGAACTGTTTTCAACCTGGGCAGCTTACCTTCTTTGCAGAAGGTTTAAGCTATATTGCTAGTCTTTGTGTGTGGGTGTGTGGTGCTGGGGATTAAGCCCTGGGCCTCATGCATACTGTTGTAAAGCAGTTTGCCATTGAGGTACATCCCTAGCCCCGTATTGCTAATCTTGATGGATTCTTAAGAGTTCACAGGTGTGATTGTTTATTGCCTGTAGAATTGCTAGCAGTGTTTATTGGTTTGATACCAGTATTAAGAAGAAAATCCATTGTTTTCATAGTGTTCTTGTAATTGAATTGTTGAAGCGAATCAGGTGAATATACTCTACTTTGTGTTGTAATCACTTAGACTTCTTTCATGGTGCCTGTGTGTGCAAAGCCATGATACTGTACTGATGGCCAAATGCTGCGTACCAAGTCATGGGATTCTTCCTTTGTATTTGGAGAAAAAAAAAATGAAAGTGGGGTGTGTGATATGTTTGGTCTTGCTTCTTGATGTTTTTTTTTTTTTTTTTTTGATAGTATTGGGGATTAAACCCAGGGCCTTTGCACTGATCTAAATCCCCAGCCCTCTTTTGGTTTTATTTTTAGGACAGGGTCTTGCTAAGTTTCTCGGTTGTCTAAGTGAGGCTCAAACTTGTGATCCTCCAGCTTCAGCCTTCCAGAATGCTGGAATTACAAGCTCTGCCACTGTCTGGATTGCTTTTAAAATTTTATTCATTGATTGATTGTCTTTTTGAGACAGGTTCAATATTGATTGATTGATCGATTGTCTTGTTGGTTTTTTATTTTATTTTATTTTATTTTATTTTTTCCGGTACCAGGAACTGAACTCATGACCTTGTGCTTGCCAGGCAGGCGCTGTGCCACTGAGCTAAATCCCCAGCCCCATGATTGTCTTGTTGAGACAGGGTCTCCTTATACAGTTCAGGCTGGCCTTGTGGTCACTTTGTAGCCCAGGCTGGTCTCGAACTTGCAAAGGTCCTCTTCCTCAGCCTCCTGAGTGCTGTGATTACAGGCATGCGCCACCATGCCTGGCTACTTTCTTAATTTTAAAGTGCCCCCCTTTTAATGAATTAATGGTGATAGTAATAACTTCTTTTTGGCAAGGTTTTAGTTGACCAAAAAAAGTTGACCACTCTGTTAGTCTTTTCCTTCATCTTACTGTTTTATTTCTAATTGTATGTGATATTTGAAAGGCTGGAAACCACTATTCTACAGCTGTTACTTCTGCCACTGTCTCTTTTGCATTACATTTATTTATTGACTTACTTTAAGTTTATTTTTTTCAAGTTTTTGCCTTAGTGTTCAAATTTTTTTTATGTATAGTATGCAAATTTAACTTACTATAATTTATTTTCAAGTAGTATTACATCTTTTATCTACAATATATTAATTTTTTTAAAAAAGTAGTGCTGGGAGTTGAAACCAGGGCCTTTTGGATCCAAGGCAAGCACTGTTTTGCTGAGCTACATCTTAGCCTCATATATGAATCTGTATCTTGTAGCAATATTCTACCTCAATAGCAATATTATTCTATTTTTATCCCCCCCTGGACTTTTCTGTTTAGCATATATTTTACTTTTGCATTAATTGTATCATAATTTTTATTTTTTCCATAAGAAGTTAGTTATTTTAGCTGAGTGTGGTGGTACGTGCCTGTAATCCTAGCAGTTACTTTTGAGGCTGAGGCAGGAAGATCAAACAATAAGAAAAAGGAGAGTGGGGCATCCCGTGGCGCACGCTTGTAATCTCAGCACTGGGGAGGCTGAGGCAGAAGGATAGTTGCTAGTTCGAGACCAGCCTAGGCTACAAAGTGAGCTCAAGGCCAGCCTATCGAGACAATCTCGAAAAAGACAAAAAAAAAAAGACAAAAGAGAATTTTCTTTTTATCATAGATCCCTACCCCCCCCTCCCCTCCCCTCCCCTCCCCTCTTCTTTCTTGGCTGTACCAGGATTGAAATCAGGGCTTTGTGCATGCTAAACAAGCACTTCATCATTGAGGTACATCTCCAGCCCCGTTCATTCATATAGATACAAATACATACATACGTATACATGGAGAGATAGGAAGAGACAGAGACAGACAGACACACAGGCAGACAGACAAGGTCTCCTACTGCATCAGGTTCCTGAATAGCTGGGATTACAGGCATGTGCCTGTGCCACCACTGCCTAATTTTATCATAGTTTTTAAGTAATTTTGATTATTTTTGGGGGGTGTGTGTTGGGAATTGAACTCAGGAGCTGGTGCATGCTAAACACATGCTCTGCACCTATTGGATACTTCTGTATATTTTCACATATTCTTGAATTTTGTTCTAGGACACCGTTGCTTAAAAATTTGATCCTTTTAATGCTTGCTTTAACCTTTTTTTTTGAGACGGTCTTCTGGTTAGTCCATGCTGGCCTTGAACTCACTATGTAGCCCAGGCCAGCCTCAAACTTGCAGTGATCCTCCTGCCTCAGCATCCCCAGGGCTGGGATTACAGGCGTGCCCCGCTATGCTTGCTGATTACTGTTGTTAGTGGTGCCTGACCGTCCTTTAGTTTAGGCCTAGTTTCCTCCTTTTAAGTACAGCATTCTATTGAATGTTCCATGTATTTGAGGTTTTTCCCACTCTGGGTCATAGTCATGCACACTATTTCCAGCTTGTGTGAGCTCTGATTGTTCCTCCTGCTCTGTCTCAGTGGTTCTTTTCCTGACCTAAAGGGACCGGAAGGCATTCTCTTGTCTCTTTCTATATAATTCTCCTCTCCATGCAATGTTCTCCTTTCTAGTACTCTGCATTTCAAACTTTAGTTGTCTTCATCTCCCAGAATTTTCAACTCTGTCTTCTCAACTCAGAGAGTCTAATTAGGCTAAGCTCAAGTTTCCTGTCAGGTTTTGCGTCTTGTAAGTTCTTTAGATAGGACGCAGTAAACTGGAACAATAGTAGAACTCACTTCAACCCCTTCCCCACTGGTCACAGTAGTATATGGATTTTCAGGTCTCACTATGTAGTCCATGCTGGCCTTGAACTTACAATGTAGCCCTGCTGGTATCAAACTTGTGGCAGTCAGCACCACCACCTCTGGCTTACATTTTTTTTAAAAAGATATTTCTCTCTTCAAATAAATTAATTCTAATACTGCAGTCTTGCTCAGCAATATTCAGTAAAGGCTTGAATGAGATAAAGAGAGGATTTAGTTAAAGAATTTGGGCTGGGGATTTAGCTCAGCGGCAAAGCGCCTGCCTGGCAAGCGCAAGGTCGTGAGTTCGGTTCCTGGTACCGGAGAAAAACCAAAACAAAAAAAAAAAAAAAAAAAAAAGAAAAAGAATTCTATTAGTTAAAGAATTTATTATACAAGTTATTATTGCTTATGCCTTCCTGTTTCTTATTGGAGGCATTATAATGTCATGAAACTCTAACTAGTTTTCATTGTGCACAAATTCTGCAGTAGAAAGTTAGGACTGTTTTCAGAAAATACACTATGAGTTTTGATAGTTGCCTCATTTTCTTTACTGTGATTCAGCTGAAGTTTTGAATGTAGTGGATTTTGGTTCAAAATGGAAGAAAACTCATTCAAAATGATGTCAGTTTTTAGAAAGGCCAAATTGTATAATATTTTCTGTAATGGAAAGATAAATTTTACAAAGGCTTAATTAGGATTTCAGAAATGATGGAATGCTATGGGTATTTGTTGAGATTTACTGATGAACAATATATTTCTTGATCCATGGCTAAATAAATAGCCATTTTATAGATTAATTGAAAAGACAACTAAGTTACAAAATTAGGTTAAAAGAATCATATAAAAGAAATTGTGTTACACAGTTATGGGACATTGCTTGTTTTTCTTTTTTGTGGAGGGGTTTGGAGACAGGGTCTTGCTGTGTAGTTTAGGCTTCAATGTGTAGCCCAGGCTGGCTTTGAACTCTGTGGCTAAACAAGTATGTACCACCATACCCGCCTGGGTGGTTGTCTTTGGAAACCTTGATACATTTGTTGTAGATGAACGATTAAAATGTTTTCCGTCTGGTTTTATAAAACAAAATTAGATCTAGAAAAATTTTTTTTCTTTGTTGACTCTTTGACATCCAGTTTGAATATGGTTGAATGGAAGTAGTCTTAAGAATACTGTTTTGAAGCCAGGCATGGTGGCACATACCTGTAGTCCCTGCACTCGGGGCAGAGGCAGGAGGATTGCCAAGAGTTTGAGGCCAGCCTAGACTATTGCATAGTGAGAGCCTAGCTAAACAAACAAACAAAACCTAAAAAACAAACAAATGCCAAACCAGCAAACAAAGGAAAAGGAATATTGTTTTAAGCCAGGCAAAGTGACACATACCTGTAATGCCAGCTACTTTGGGAGGCTGAGGCAGGAAAATTACAAGTTGAAGTCCAGCCTGGACAACTTACTGAGTTCTTGTTAAAAAAAAAGGCACATACAGAACTCCTTTGTCTTTTAAGAGCTATTTATTTCTTTGTTATTTTTGTTGCTTTCTGAGACAGGGTCTCATGTAGTTCAGGCTGCCCTTGAACTCATGGCAGTCCTGCCTCACCCTCCCAACTGCTGTGTTTACAGATGTGAGCTACCATGCCCAGCCCAAGAGCTGTTTATTTAAAAAATAGTAGATTTCTAAAAAGGCAAAATTTTTAATAGTTTTTGATATTCTCCATGTCAGCTGCAAATGTATGAAAGCCTCCAAATTTTGGGGTTGTTAAATTGTGTACAGTAATACCTCATTTCACAGGTGGTATTATTCGCAAACAGTTTGGTTTGCAAACAGAAGCATTTGGCCAAATTCTGTTCTTGTTTGCGAATGGCATTGGGTGACAAATATGACCGTGGCCATCTTTCCCACACAAACACAAACATGGCCATCTTTTCCAAAATTACAGAACAAATTTATTGGTCCCAAAATTTTATTCATTTAAATATCACATTCCCTTTTTTTGTTGTGGTTCTTTGTGGTACTGTGAATTGAACGTCGGGCCTTTGTACTGAGCCTTTGTACCCCAGCCCTTTTTATTTTTAATTGTGAGACAGGGTCTCACCAAGTTGCTAAATTGCTCAGGCTGGGCTCAAACTTGTGATTCTCTTGCCTCAGTCTCCCACAGTGCCGGGATTACAAACTCTGTGCCAGCCTAACCTATTCACTTTTACAAATCATGGATATATTTGTTTTAAAAAGAAACAAATATATTTGTTTTAAAAAGAAACAAACAAATACTTCACAAACAAGTGAAGTATTCTCATTGTTACACAGAGTAACCATGAAAATAGAAACAATGAGTATTTGCTAGATTCTGACAGCATAAGCCTGTGAGACTGCACCTGTCTTCTATGTTTTAAGGTAGTTTAAACCAGTTGTGGTGGGGAACACCTATAATCCCAGCACTATGGGAGACTGAGGCAGGAGGATCACAAGGTTTAGCCCAGCCTTGGCAATTTAGTGAGACAGTGTCTCAAAAAAAAAAAAAGGCTGGGGTGCAGCTTAGTGCAAGGGCCTTGGGTTCAATACCTAGTGCTGTTAAAAAAAAAAAAAAGCCAGCCCAACCAGGTGGCACACACCTATAGACCCAACATTTTGGAGGTTGAGGTAGGAGGATCAAGAGTTTCAGGCTTGCTTGGGCTACATAATGAGTTCGAGGTTAGTCTGCACTGCATAGTGAGACCCTGTTTCAAAAAATAAAAATAAAAACAAGAAAATACTGGGGTTGTACCTCAGTGGTACAGTGTTTGTGAGTTTCATCTCCTGTACTGAAAAAAATAAGAAAGGGAGTTTAGCAAGTGCTACAGAAGTGTGAAAGACACACTAACACCAGACTTTGTCCTTGACATTATCTATACTGAAAGAATTGGAAGACTAGCTTCCTTGCTGTTTTTCATTGCTATTTAATGTCATATCCATTGTTTTGGAAAATGCTGTAAAGTAGTATTCTCATGAAAGGAAGGAAGGAAGGAAAAAGGGGGGAAGAAAGGAAGAAGGGCTGTATTTACACCTAAAAGGCAGAAAAAATGAAAGACACTAGAATTTAGAGATATGACATTTAGGGGCTGGGGATTTAGCTCAGCAGCTCAGCGCCTGCCTGGCAAGTGCAAGGTCATGAGTTCGATTCCCGGTACCAGAAAAAAACCAAAAAAAAAACCAAACAACAAAAAGAGAGAGATGACATTTAAAGATATGATGTCTTTGGAGAGAAAAGGCTTAAATGAAATTTAAAGGTAGGTTTGAACTCAGCAGAGATGTTTACCGTTTCCTGTCATTGATTTGCCTCTTCTGTTAGTATGATTCATTTTGTCTACACTCAAAATAATGTAGTTATTTGGAGTATTCATGTGTTGTTTTTTGAATTCACTAGAGGATAGTAGAAAATGAGAAGATTAATGCAGAAAAGTCATCAAAACAGAAGGTGGATCTACAGTCCTTGCCAACTCGTGCCTACCTGGATCAGACAGTTGTGCCTATCTTGTTACAGGGACTTGCTGTGCTCGCGAAGGAAAGGTGAGGTCATGGTATCTGCAGATGGGAGTGCCAGAGAAAGAAGAGACGTACCTAAGTTAATGTTAGTTTTTACTATAATGTTTTATAATTTATGGCTATTAAACTTCTTTGAAAGGAAGCCAGGCATAATCTCAAGTCAGACATTTTCATTTTTTTCTACTAATCTTAGATCATATGCATACTTGTAAAGATTCCTAGTCATGGTATAAATGTGATTTTGTATCTTCATTTTACTTAATGACATAACATTTTTCTATATGGATCGATAATCTTCATGATCATAATTTAAATTTTAATGTTATCACAATTAACCTAGCCATATCCTCTGTTACATAATATCTAGGTTCAGTTTCCTTTGTCACTATAGATCAACAATAGGCAGTAGACAGTTCATTTTCTTTCATGTCTCTTTTACCTGTGTTTACTTTTTAAATAACAAATTCCAAAGAGTTGTTTTACTAGTTCGTTTTTTTGGTGAGGTTTTTTTTTTTTTTTTTTTTTTTGGTGCTGGGAATTGAACTCAGGACCTCACACTTCCCAGGCAGGTGTTTGTGCACAGAGCTATATCCTGGCCCCTGTTTTACTAGTTCAAAGGATATTATTTTTATAGTATCGTATTTCTACCCTAAAGCTTGTTCAAACTCTAGTGTCACTGTAGCCTCAACAATGTTCTGAACTTTGTTGCCAAGTTGTTTTAATTACATTTCTTCATTAGCATAGAATCATGTCATTACATGTTTTTGTGCAGTAATTCTTATTCAAATTTTCTTGTGTAAAGAAATACAATGAGGCCAGGCATGGTGGTGCATGCATGTAATTGCAGCACTGGGGAGGCTGAGGAAGGAGGATCACCAAGAGTTTGAGCCTAGCCTGGGCTACATAGAGTTTGAGGCCAGCCTGAACTATACAGCCAGACCATTTGTCCAAAAAAAAAAAAAAAAAAAAAAAAAGCAAACACAATGACAAAATTTGTTTGGTAAATTAGATTAGTTAACATTTACAAAAAAAACCCACAAAACATTGATTACATGGATACTATGTTTTATTCAAAGGATAGGAATAAAGATTGTAGCAAATTGACATAACTTGATAAAAAACTTGAACATTGTATCTCAGAGTAAGTGATGAAGTTAGAGTAGCTATATTAGTTTATGTAAAAATTATATGAGGGCTAGGAGCGTAGCTCAGTGATAGAGCATGTGGTGGAGCATGTGGTAAGCATGCACAAGGCCCTGGGTTCAGTCTCTTGTACCACCTCTCCCAACTGATAAACAGAGGAAGCCACATATATGTGGTTTTGATGTATTTGTAAAATAAGATTTATTTATGATTGTGTAATACATCTTGAGTCTGCCACTGAGAATTAAAATGTGGCTATCCTTTCTTTGTTGTTATTTTTTAATTTTGGTTTTTTTGAGACAGGGACTTGCTATGTAGTGCATACTGGCCTTGAACTTGCGTATGTAGCCCAGGCTGGCCTCAAACTCACAGTGATCCTCTTGCCTCAGCTTCCTGAGTGCTGGGATCACAGACCTGTGCCACCATGCTCGGCAGAATTAAATTATTTGAAGATAAAAGTGTTTTTTAAAGAAAAGCAGTGTAAGTTGGGTAATCTCAGCACTCGGGAGGCTGAGACAGGATTGCTGTGATTTCGAGGCCAGCCTGGGTTACATAGTGACTCCAAGACCAGCCTATACTACAAAGTGAGACCCTGTCTCAAAAAACCAGAAAGAAAACAAAACTAATAGAATTTGTTTAAGTTAGTGTTGACTCTTCTGATTATTCACTTGAGTTTTTGAACTATATGTTTTAGTAATGCTACAGTCATTGTCTTAATTGGGTTTTGTTGTTTTGTTGAAGGATAACACCTATATACGTAGTTGTGCATTTCATATCTATGTAATGTGTGCTCAGATCAAGAAGCTAAACATAATACTGCCAGCACTGCAGAAGTCTGTCTTGTGAACCTCTTCGTCATTATTTTCTCTAAAGCAATCCAATGTTAGTATATGTTTAAAACCTGTTTAGAATCGAGTTCATAACTAGTTTTGTTTATATATATATTTATTTATTTATTTTAGTCTTTTTTTGAGACAGAGTCTTGCTATGCAGTTCAGGTTGGCCTGGAGCTCACTTTGTAGCCCAGACTGGTCTTGAACTTGCAATGATCCTCCTGCCTCAGCCTCCCAAGTGCTGGGATTACAGGCATGTGCCACCATGCCTGGTGCATAACAAGTTTTAAACCATAAAAATTTGTCTTTTTAAAACTATATTGGTTGTTTGTCTTTCTCACTTTCCATATATATGACAAATGACCTTTGACTGTAAAATAAAAAGTAAAAAGGTGTGCTGTCTTTATGAAACTACATTTAAATTAACACATTTAAAAATATGTTTTTCTGGGGCTGGGGATTTAGCTCAGCGGCAAAAGCGCCTGCCTGGCAAGCACAAGGTCGTGAGTTTGGTTCCCGGTACCGGAGAAAAACCAAAAAAAAAAAAAAAAAAAAAAAAATGTTTTTCTGTTCAAAAGAAAAAACAAACAGTAATGGGGGAAAGGAGAAAGGAAGAAAGAGAAAAAGAAAAAAAATATATACAAGATAGTTAAGATAGTTATACAGCTAGTTTCTCTTAGTTGATTGGAAAGAAAGGTTTGTGCTGATACTGTCTGAACAAGATATCATGCCTGTATCTTGTACTCTGAATATCTACTGAAGACATTAATACACACTGTATTACTGTAATTCTCCTACTAACCTGTTTTGAAACTGTCTTCTTAGTTTTCTTTTATTCTCTTTAAAATAAAATTTAAAAAAATTAAAAATATATGTTTCTAAACTTTGGATTTGTTTTCCCTTACAGACCACCAAATCCCATTGAATTTCTAGCATCTTATCTTTTAAAAAACAAGGCACAGTTTGAAGATCGAAACTGACGTATTGGGAAGAACAGAAAAATCTGGTTGCTACTGTAGATTTACATGATTAAGAGGCAGCTTTAATTGCCACAATTTTCCCTCCTTTTTGGAATTATAAGAACCTTCAGGACAAAAGAAATTATTTCCAGAAGAGAACATATTTCCCCTATTTTGATTTAATCACCATACTTATTTAATGAGCATATTCTGTGCAATTTTTTCGCAGATTGTCTTTAACTTTGTTTTTAAAATGACCTTCAAAATAAATTGTCGAAATGCCAGTATTTCAGAGTAGTTTTTGTTATGAGAAGTACTTTGTATGCTTGAATTGTTATCATGAATTGCTTCTTTCTTGTGTCTCAATGCTACAGAGTTTTACAACAGAGTGAAAATATAGCAGAATCAAGAATAATATAAAAAACTTAGCCTCTTTTTCCCAGTATTGTCACTGGACTTTTCTAAGGGTGGTATGTGGGCATGTTCAATGTCCAATAAGCATCACAGGTGTTTCTAATGTACAGTAATATTGGGGTGTGGAGCAAAGCATTGCACAGCGTATATCGTATCTTTCAATGCTTTCGGATAATGATGTAAAAATAGCTCATTTATTGCAGCCCTGTATGTCGGGCATCGTACTGTTTTCTTTAACCCAGCAACTCTGCAAAGTAGATACTATTCCCATTTTGCAGATAAGATAACAGACTTGGAGAGGTTCAGTGACTTACTTTTTCAAAACAGCACTACTGGTAAATGCTTCAGTGGGAATTCATCCATCCTTTTTTTTTTTCCCTTCGAGACAGGGTCTCACTATGTAGCCCAGGCTGGACTCAACTCACAGTGATCCTCCTACTCAGGTTCCTGAGTACTGGGAATACAGGTGTGCACCACTACACCTGGCAATTCATTCCAGTTCTGTGAATGTGTTGCTGATAGCTAGTGAGAAATATTTGTGTCACTTAATGTCATTGAGTCTCTTTGCAATAAAAATTATTAGCTGGTGGGTGGTTTTATTTTATTTTTTCCTTTTTTCCTTTTTAGATCTTTTGTTCCTGTGAAGAAATTAAGTACTGGCTGTGAAAATAGAGAAAATTATCTGCAATGTAAAACATTCACTAGATAAGTGGTACTCTAATTGGAGTGATTACTGGGTGTGGTGCACGCCTGTAATCCTAGCATTCTGGAGGCTGAGGCAGGAGGGTCACTGCGAATTCAAGGCCAGCCTGGGCTACATAGTGAGTTTAAGCCCAGCCTGAACTACAGAGGGAAACCCTGACAAAAAAAAACAAGCAAACAAAAACATCAAATTGGAGTGATTATGTCTAGCTTCTCTCCTCCAACCCCCAGGACATTTGGTGATCTAGATATGTTATTGGTTTTTTGTTTGTTTGTTTGAGACAGGGTCTCTATGCAATTCAGGCTGGCCTTGAGCTCACTTTGTAACCCAGGCTGGTCTCAAACTCAGCGATCCTCCTGCCTCAGCCTCCTGAGTGGTGGGATTTGGATACATTTTAGTTTTCACAAGTAGGGTGAGATAGTATTCTACTGGCATCTAGTGGATAGAGGTTAGGGATGCTGCTAAATATCTTAAAGGGCACAAGATAATCAATGTGCCCATCCCCTTTCCCTAAATCTTCCAGTTAAAAGTATCAAGAATATCAAAATTGGAAAACTGCATTAGAAATATATTAAAGTCTTGGGTCTCTAAGAAAACATGTTAAAGCCTTTGCAGAGTTAGAAATTTAATGCTGATGATACATGTGTTGCAGTTCTTTTTAATACAGGGAATACTTAGTAGAAGCAATACTTTGACTCACATGTGCAGACCTATATATTTAAGTAGTAAAACCTATTTAAGTAGGAAATACTGGTATCTCCCATTTATACAATAAAGCACCACAAGTATTTTATTAGATTTATTTTGGCTACTTGTCTAATTCATTAGTTAATCCACAGAAGTGTTTTTAGTGGTATTTTAACATTTGAGTTAATTGTATAATTTTCTAATTAAAGCATCAATAATGCACATGCTAAGCAAGTACTCTGCTACAGAGCCACTCCCAGAACTTTTCAAATGTTATTATAAATAATAGTGTATAAATATATAAATACATATCTATCTTACATAAAGTCTGGAGACTGATTAAATTAGGATAGAGCCTGGATTTATGATTTTGTGAAAACTCTTCAGTCTGATGCATACAGTTTTGGAAATGTAAGTATGTAGTGCTCTGCCTAGTGCTTCATTACTTACAGTGTTCCACTGAACTGTCTTCAAAATAGGGTTTAAACATCTCTATCTTGGCCAGGCATGGTGGTGTAGGCCTGTAATCCTGGTACTTGGGAGGCTGAGACAGGAGGATCTCTGTCAGTTCAAGGCCAGCCTGAGCTGCATAGTAAGACCCTTCTCCAAAAAAAAAAAAAAAAACACCACCAAACAAAACAAAAAAAAACAAACTCAATTTTGAATTTCGTACTTTTTCCAGTAAGAGCTGAAAGTAGGTATGTCTTCTGCTGGCAGTTGACATACTCCTTAGTATTTACTATGCCAGGGACCATGGGGAAGTACTTTGCTATTTCATCTTCAACCCTGTGAAGCAGAGTTCATTGCAAAATTTTTATACCCACTTTATTTATTAAAATATCACTATTGGCATGTTTTCTTTTTTTGTTTTTTTCCGGTACTGGGAATCGAACTCATGACCTTGCACTTGCCAGGCAGGCGCTGTGCCGCTGAGCTAAATCCCCAGCCCTGGCATGTTAAAATGTCACTATGTATGATCTACATGTAAGAAGCTGTATATAGTGTATAGAAGCTGATAAGTTTCAGAATAGGTATCTACTAGTGAAACTATAACCATGATCAAGGCCATAAATGTATTCATCACTTCCCAAAGTTGGAAGTAGGTTTCTTTTATTTATTTTTGTGGTAATGGGGATTAAACCCAGCGCCTCATGCATGCTAAGTACAATACCACTGAACTACACCCGAAGCAGAGAAGTAGGTTTAATTTCATTACATCATTTTTTGATAAACTCAGATTTGGTTAACTTGCTCAAGGTTATAGAGGACAGTTCAGGGCAGTGATTCAAATCCAGTTTAAGACTATTCTCAGGTATATTTATGATTTTTCTCTTGGGGGGGAAAGTCAGTGGGAGGCCTCATCACACTGGAGGGTGAGAGAAACTGAGCCATGGTAGGGAATAAAATGAACATACTGTAAACAGGCCCCCGGTCCCGTCCCCCCCCCC